GGAGGGAGGACGGGGTCGTGGACGAGAAGGGTGAGGAGGAGGGGGAGGATCATAGTAACCCCAATAGGCATCAACGATGCTACTACATAGACGCCCACCCGTCGCAAGGCTCCTCCTCTGGAGCCACTACAGTAATTCTATTTCGCCGTGGGAAGTGCCATCTTGAAAGACAAACGCCACATGTCCTGCATTTCAGGGGAGAGTCCCGTTTTGAAAAAGAGTTGCCATCCGTGTTTCTAGCTGGAAGGACGGCGACGATGTATGATCACTCAGTTCAAGGACGTTTTCAGCGAGAGCCCCGCTTTGAAGAAAGAGCCGCCCTCAATCCGTGCACGTGCCCCCAATTTTCAAGCGTCCGGTCATACAACCTTAGACAGTCTTAAGCAAGAGTCCCGACTTGAAACGCAGCCGCACTGCATCCGTGTAGCTGTTGTCCACTTGGGTATTTGACCTCAGGGATTAAGGACGTCTCACGCGAGAGTTAGTTCGAGAAGGAACCGCGCTCCACTGCTGTAGCGGTTATCAATTTGAAGACGGATTTGCGCGGCGCAAAGGCCATATCTACCATTTGACAGGACACCCCTTCTTCCGTATAGGTGTTGATAATTTGGAAGCTGCACGTTGAAAATGACCCCCCTCTCTATACGTGTAGCGATTTGTCGCCTTTTCGCCGAAGGTGCGCGGCGTCAACGTGATTACCACTTTTTTGAAACGACTTCCCTCCAGCCCTGTAGCTGTTCATACTCTGCGAATGTGCGGGGGCGAAGGCGACCTACATTTTTTCCCAACCATCCTGTGGTGTTGGATCCTCGTTTTGAAATACAGCGCCCCGCGTCACTCACTCACTCCGCCTCCTCCCTCCTCCCCTCCCTGCCTCTGCCCTCCGCATGCGTATTTCGGCGCACCCCTCACACGCTTCGTGGCCCAATAGGGTGCTCCGCCGAAGGCCCCAGTGGCAGGGTCCGCATGCAGTTCCACCTCCATTTCGGCGCACCCATTACATGTTTCGTTGTCCTATAGGGTGGTCCACCGAAGGCCCTTGTGGCAGGGTCTGCATGCAGTTCAACCTTCATTTCGGCGCACCTCTCACACGTTTCGTGGCCCCATAGGGTGCTCCACCTCAGGCCCCAGTGGCAGGGTCCACATGCAGTTCCACCTCCATTTCGGCGCACCCCTTACGCGTTTCGTGGCCCCATGGGGAGCTCCACCGAAGGCCCCAGTGGCGGCGTCCGCATGCAGTTCCACCTCCATTTCGCCGCACCCCTCACACGTTTCTTGGCCCCATAGGGTGAGAGTGGCAGGGTCCGCATGTAGTCAGTTCCACCACCAGTTCGGCGCACCCCTTACGCGTTTCGTGGCCCCATAGGGTGCTCCACCCAGGGCCCCAGTGGCAGGGTCCGCATGCAGTTCCACCTCCATTTCGGCGTACCCCTCACACGTTTCGTGGCCTCATAGGGTGCTCCACCGAAGGCCCCAGTGGCAGGGTTCGCATGCAGTTCCACCCCCATCTCGGCGCACCCCTGAGATGGTCCGCGGCCCTATAGGGTGCTCCACCTCAGGCCCCAGTGGCAGGGTCCGCATGCAGTTCCACCCCCAATCTGGCGCACCCCTCACACGTTTTGTGGCCCCATCGGGTGCTTTACCGAAGGCCCTAATGGCCGCGCCCGCATGCATGCAGTTCCACCCTACACGACCCCCGCCCGTGTAACTGTTCATACTTTTGAGATGAACGGCGCGGCGCCATTGCGAGAGCCACATTGTGAAAACGACCCCCTTATACATCCTGTAGCTGCTCGGGATTTTAACGACGAGCGTGCGCGGCGCCCAGGGGAGAGCCACTTCCATCCGTGTACTTATGGGGAATCTCAAATTTAGAGGTCTTAAATGGGGAGGGAGTCTCAGACAACATGCCCGGCCTTGCCTACCCACACATTTGGTGATAAGACGAGGAATATTTGTGTATAAGGGAAGAGGATGCTGGAGGAGGAGGAGGAGGAGGACCAGTGGTAACACAAGACGCATCAACTATGTTGTAGAAGCCCTCCCTCCAAGTTCCCTTTTCATAGGTCCCAGTCCCAGCATGTTTTCATGACGGGAGGCGCCCCATGGAAAGACAACTGTCTGAGAATTCGCAATCGTGCAGAAACTCGGTTCTTGGGACATCCTGACAATCCTGAATCGTGATATTACAACATTATTTGGATTTCATTATTACGAATCCTTGAGCATGCTGCAACATTTTAAGACGAATGTGCGTGGTGCTAGGGCGAGGTTCACATTTTGAAAAACAGCCGCCCTCCATCCCTGGAGTTATTGCAAACTTTTGAGGCGAATGTGCGCGGCGCGAAGGCGAGAGCCACATTTCTAGTACCAGCTGCCCTCCATCCGTGAAGTTATTGCAAACTTTCAAGACGAATGTGCGCAGCGCTGCGGGAGCAGCTGTTTGAAAACCACCCGCCCTCCATCCTTGAAACTGTTTCCAATTTCAAGCATCATGATCTTAGCGAGGAAGTCTTAAGCGAAACTTCTTGCCCGCCCTACTGACATGTTTGAGGGTGCGACAGGGAGTTGTTTATGAGGACATCGAGAGGAATATGCCATTTTGGCCAGGCCCATTCTGGGCCCAGCATCGCCGTAATCATGCGCCTACCTGGCCTCGGGCCAGGAGGGCGTGCACTCCGATCATGGGCCAATGATCGGTCCGTCCTGAGTCGATGTTGGTGCGAACAGTTTGCGCCCTACTCCGGTCGTGTCAGACCTGGTGGTGCGACGAGGAGGAGCCTTCTATGAGGGCGAGGGGTGGAAGCCCTCCTGAGACCTCTGGAGGAGGAGCGAGTCTTGCTCGCGTGCTGCACGGCGCGCGCCCGCGGCCGCCGCAGCTCCTCGTTGCCCAGCAGAGGGCCCAGAGTCCGAAACGCGTCAAGGAAGGGGAAGGAGAACGAAGTCGTGGACGAGGAGGGCGAAGTCGTGGACGAGGAGGGCGAGGTCGTGGGCGAGGAGGACGAGGAGAAAACGAAGCCGTGGACGAGGAGGACGAAAGGCGAGGATGGCAGGGAGGGGCGGGGGAGCCCCTGGCGCCCCCCTTCGACGCAGGGCCTCCCTTCGCGAGGACGCGGGCCACTGGCCGACGTCTGGGGTGACGGACGGAAGGTGCGTGAAGGAGGAGGAGGAGGAGGCGGAGGAGGAGGAGGAGGAGGAGGAGGAGGAGGAGGAGGAGGAGGAGGAGGAGGAGGAGGGCGTCATCCGTCGTCCCCCGCCGCCGCCGCCGCCGCCGCCGTCGTCGTCGTCGGCGTCGTCGTCGTCGTCGTCGGCGGCGTCGTCGTCGTCGCGGTGGTGGTGCTCGGCCCTCCGAGGCGGCCCCGGCGCTGTGGCGCCGCAGCGGCCGCGGCGCTGCCCCCGGCGCGTCGGGCGCCTCCGCGCCGCCTCCGCCGTCTGGAGGGGGGGGGGCGCCGTCTCTGAGGTCCGAGGGGCCGAGAGGCCGAGATTTTCTTTGACGATACCAGAGCTCGACACGGGTGACCTCCCCCACGTTTTCGATGGATTTGACGTCCTCGCCTTTCGAGTTCCCAGCGCTCCAAGACGGACCAGAGAGCCCTCGATGTCGCGCGCAGGGGCCCCAAGAGTTCCCAGACGACCCTCTGTGGCTGTGGCCATTCTGGCTCAAGCGGTTCCGATCGAGACTGTCACATCACGCGGCGGCCTTGTGAGTTGTCACCTCCTGTCAGACTTCAACTCGATCAAGAAGCCCATCCGACGCGATGCGTGAGGCGATCTGCACCCACATTGGGCAGGCGGGTGTGCAGATTGGCAATGCATGCTGCTCCCTCATCGAGGGTGCAGGTGTATCGCGCGGGCTTTGGTGTGCAGCGACTAATGATGAGACACCGCGCTTGTGGCGTTCTAGCGGAGGGACGTCAGGGCGTGTCATGCGGCGGTGACGGCACGCTCCGGCGGCGCTGTGCTGTGGCGTGGCGAACTTCGGCATCCGTAGGCTGGCAGTCGGCCCCCACCAACTTCTGTTGGCTCAACTTTTTCGTTGAAGAGCTCTCGTATGCATTTCCAGTCTGTACACTTGCGTGGCCAATGTGGGTGTATATCGCTGCGTTCCTGTGCCGGGTTGTGGCCTGGGCGGTCCGAGGGCGTGGTGGGGCAGCGGCCCGTAATTCCATGCACGGGAGGCTGGCTTGCGTGGCCAGTCGAGCGTGCGCGCCCTCCACGAGACCATATGCGCCTCGCTGGTTTTCGCTGTGTACAGTATTGGCGTTGTGTATGGTGGCTCCGGGGACTGTACAGTTAGCCCTGGGCGGCCAGTTTCTGGCCTTCGAGCGCCCCGCACAGCTTTTCTGCCTTGCAGTTGCTCATCTCCTTCATCGAGGGTGCAGGTGTATTGCGCGGGCTTCGGTGTGCAGCGACTAATGATGAGACGCCGGCGCTTGTGGCGTTCTAGCGGAGGGACGTCAGGGCGTGTCATGCGGCGGCGACGGCACGCTCCGGCGGCGCTGTGCTGTGGCGTGGCGACCTTCGGCATCCGTAGGCTGGCAGTCGGCCCCCACCAACTTCTGTTGGCTCAACATTTTATTTGAAGAGCTCTCGTATGCATTTCCAGTCTGTACACTTGCGTGGCCAATGTGGGTGTGTATCGCTGCGTTCCTGTGCCGGGTTGCGGCCTGGGCGGGCCGAGGGCGTGGTGGGGCAGCGGCCCGTAATTCCATGCACGGGAGGCTGGCTTGCGTGGCCAGTCGAGCGTGCGCGCCCTCTACGAGGCCATATGCGCCTCGTTGGTTTTCGCTGTGTACAGTATTGGCGTTGTGTATGGTGGCTCCGGGGACTGTGCAGTTAGCCCTGGGCGGCCAGTTTCTGGCCTTCGAGCGCCCCGCGCAGCTTTTCTGCCCCTGCAGTTGCTCATCTCCCTCATCGAGGGTACAGGTGTATCGCGCGGGCTTCGGTGCGCAGCGACTAATGATGAGACGCCGGCGTTTGTTGCGTTCTAGCGGAGGGACGTCAGGGCGTGTCATGCGGCGGCGACGGCACGCCCCGGCGGCGCTGTGCTGTGGCGTGGCGAACTTCGGCATCCGTAGGCTGGCAGTCGGCCCCCGCCAACTTTTGTTGGCTCAACTTTTTAGTTGAAGAGCTCTCGTATGCATTTCCAGTCTGTACACTTGCGTGGCCAATGTGGGTGTGTATCGCTGCGTTCCTGTGCCGGGTTGTGGCCTGGGCGGGCCGAGGGCGTGGTGGGGCAGCGGCCCGTAATTCCATGCACGGGAGGCTGGCTTGCGTGGCCAGTCGAGCGTGCTCGCCCTCTACGAGGCCATGTGCGCCTCGTTGGTTTTCGCTGTGTACAATATTGGCGTTGTGTATGGTGGCTCCGGGGACTGTGCAGTTAGCCCTGGGCGGCCAGTTTCTGGCCTTCGAGCGCCCCGCGCAGCTTTTGTGCCCGTGCTGGTGATACCTCCCTCCTGGTGGGGGCGCGTGTATCGCGGGGGCGCTAGTGGCTTCGGCGGCTGGTGTGCTCCGCGACAAATGGTATCACGCCGCGTTCGTGGCGTGCTCCGTCGAGGTGCGTCAGGGCGTGCCCGGCCCCGGCCAGGCGAACTTCGGCGCCCGCAGGGTTCCGCTACCGCTGTATCCAGTGTGTTGGGGCGTCGTCATGCAGGCACCATTGTGAGTCTCTCCGAGGGCGCCTGCAAGGTGAGAGGAGTGGAGAAGGCGGTGAACGGTGAGGTGTATGGGAGGGCGGCCGAGGGCTTGAGGAGGAGGCGGATTATAGGCAAGAGGTCAGGAGGAGACATGGGGAGAGTGAGGACGAGGCGGATCGTCGGCAAGAGGCCAGAAGAGGAAACGCGGGAGGAGGCGGAGGAGCAGATTCAGGAGGCAAGGGAACGGAGGTCCAGGCCCCAAGCAGCAGCTGACCAGCAGTCAGGGGGGCCTTTGCCCGCGCGATGGAGGCCGGCGCTGCGCCGGGACCGTGCGAGAGATGCGAGGCAGCAGGCGCAGCTGGGGAGTTCAGCGTGGCAGACTTAGGCGTTGCGTGCCCGGGTCCTCTCGGAGAGTGCGACGTGGACGCGCCTGGAGCCAGCGGGCGGTCGACGCCGCGGGCGACGGCGCCGCCGGCGCCGTGCGTGCAACCAGAGGGACCTGGGGCAAGAGGAGGAGCTGCGAGGTGGCACTCTCAACGTGCGGGGCCTCAACTGGACGCGAGTGGCTGCCTTCGAGAAGCGCGGGGGGGGGGGGGTCATCTTGGGCGCCCGCGAAGCTCAGTGGGACTTTTTGGGCCCTTCAGACATGCGTTCTCCAGGGCCAGCAGTCGTTTGTGTGGAAGAGTTCGTCGTGGTGTCTGGTTTGCGCAGTGCAGTTTTGCTCAGCAGGGCTTGCGCGAAGGCTTGGATTGCGGGCGGACAACAGATCAAACGCAGCGGAGATCGCATCGCAGCAGTCTCGCTCAGCCTTCATGGGATCCGCTATTGGTTGATCAGCTGCTATGCTCCCACATTTGACCAGGAGGGGGCGCGTGAAGCATCTCTTCGTCATTTGGACGATCTGCAGGCGTCTTTCGCCCCTGAAGAGAAACCTATTTCCATGGGGGGCTGGAATGGGCGCGTGGGGGGGCGCAGGCCGCGAGCGACGGTCGTCGACGGTGATTGGCAGGGACCTTGGGGTATGCTGAAGACCAGCGTGCCTGCAGGCCTCCGCGTTGGGGCGTGGTGCGAAGAGCGCGGCTTGCAAGTGGCAGACTCATTTTTCGCGTTCCCATCTCGTGGAGCGTGGAGGCACCAGCAATCTGGGGATTGGTACGAACTGGATTATTTCCTCTGCAGCCTAGACCTGCTCAAGCGCATCGTGCTGACCCGCGCCGAGGAAATCCAGGCATGCGCGGACCACGTGTCCAAGGGTATCCGGCCCCGCATTGCCAAGCCTCGCGGCGGCCGTTCATTCGAGCGGGAGACCGCAGATTACAAGCCCCCGGTCCCGATTGATCTTATGAAGGGGCCGTCTCCGAGCGCCGTGGCCCGCCGTGCAGAGTTTGGGGATCGTGTTCGGAAAGCTGCAGAATATTTGCCGCCGCTGTCTCGCTCGTGGGAGTGCCTGTCCCGGTGCCTCGTGGAGGCGGCGGAGACCGTGGTGGGCAGAGGGCAACCGCCCAAGTTCGGTGACCGCAGCCTGGAGGCAGCTACAGACCGAGAGGCGCTGATCACTTCGTGGGTGGCAGCGCGATCAGCCCAAGGCTCGCTCGGTGAAGAGGCAGCGCGCGCCAGACACAGAGCGCTCAACCGGCAGGCTCGCGCCAAGCACCGACGCTGGACATGGGGACGTATCGAGGACACCGCGAAGACTTCGTCCGCCGCGGCGGCTTGCGACGACACGGGCGAGCTCTTCTCCACGATCAGAGTGCCGCGCGAACTGCTGGCCAAGCAGAGCAGGGAAGGGCAGGAACCGTGCGCGCTGGAACAGGCTCGCAAGCACATGCTGGGCATCGCCGGATCACCGAACACGGTTCCAGAGGCGCTGTTCGCAAGTTTTCCGCTCCCTGTGCGAGCGCCCTCGGGGAAGCTCCTGCTCGCCAGGAGGTGGGCGCCAACTTCGCCAAGATGAAGGGCAGCGCTGGCGGCAAGGACGAGGTCCGAATCGAGATGGTGAAGGGCGCTCCACACATTCTTCGGGGTATGTTAGCGGAGTTGATTCAGAAGATGTGGATAACAGACCCAGCATTGTGGGGGCATCAGTGCGTCGAGGCTCTTGTCAAATTGCCGTGCAAACGCGAAGGAGACAAGAAGGGCCCCAACAATTGGCGCGGCATGCGCCTGCTCTCGATATGCTCGCGCATTGTGGCGCGCATAGTGGCTTCCAGGCTCGCGGCGTGGAGCGAGAGGGAGAGCCTCGTTGTGCCTGAGCAGTGCGGCTTCCGGCCCAAAAGGAGCGCGCTCGACGTCCTGTTCGCAACTCGCCTGCTGGTCGAGATGGCCAGTCGCACTCTGTCCCCCGAGCCTGCGGAGAGGGTCGCGCTCGTGTTGCTGGACCTCATCAAGGCGTGCCCGAATGCCCCTCGCAATGCGTCTTGGGCAGTGCTGGACAACGTGGGCGTCTATCCAGCGATGCTGCGCGTCATCCGCGGACTACGCGAAACGACGAGCTACCAGGTGGATGGGGCGCAAGGGCGGTCGGGGACGTACAAGCTGCAGCGGGGGCTGAGAGAGGGGTGCCCGTCATCGTGCATAATCTTCAATCTGTACCACAGCTGGGTCATCTCGCAAGTGCAGGCCCGCATTCGTTTTGAACTCGGACCCGAGGCGGGGGTGGCCGTGCAGTCCATAGGTGAGCAATGTGCGTCGCAATCGCTGCGGACAGCTGTGGGGTCCGCGCGCAGGCGCCTCCTCCGCGAGGTGCCGACGTCTCTGCATCTTTCTCGGCTGCTTACGTTCCTCTTTGCAGATGACGCAACGATGCTTGCTCGAGAAGCCCAGAGAGACGACGTCGAGAGACTCACGATAGAGGTCATGCGCGACTGGGGCGAGACAGCCCGCCCGGGCAAGACAGGCTCCGCCGGGGTCACCCGACCGAGGGTCCCGTGGCCGACCCCGACGTGGAGTTCAAGACGGCAGTGCGACCATGGGGGGATGGTTCGAAGCCACGGGCGGGCTGGGTGTGGACACGCAGAAGAGGCTCAGCGCAGCGACACAGGCGTGGGGCAAGCTACACAAGTCCTTGCAGTACTCGGGCCCGTCCAAGAAGCAGAAAGGAGCTATCGTCCAGACCGTTGTGGTTAGCATCTTGGCCTATGGCTGTGAATGCCGCCCCTTCTCCGCAGTGGAAATGCGCCAACATGAATCTTATGTGAACAGAGTGGTCGGGTGTGTGTGCCTGAGCAAGGGGGCCGGTATCTCGAGCATGCGGGGTCAGCGCAACATGGCGGATTTGCGGGGCGAGTGCGGTCTGCACCCCGTCGGCGCGGTGATCAAGAAGCGGCAGCTACTGTATTGGGGGCACGTGGCCCGACAGCCTCATGACTCGAGAAGCAGCTCCTCAACGGTTGGCTGGTCGCAGCGGCGAATCGCACGGCGCCGGCGACCGGCTGGGGCAACCGCTCTTTCCGGGCGTGCCTGGAAACGGTGGTGGGGGAGCTGAGCGAGTGCGATGCGAGGCCGTGGCAGCTCGTCGCCCACGAGTCTGTGCGTGCGCACGGAGACACTTTGAAGCAGCTCGTCGCCAAATGGTTCACCGACGCCATCGCGGCTGACCGTATCACGTCCTACGGGCGCCAGCCGCAGGCAGGGCGCACCCCCCCCCCCTCTGCCTCCGTCAGCCGACCCAAGGTCGCCGCCCAGGTTCTCAGCAGCTGGTCGCCGATAGAAGAAATGCCGCGACTGCGGGGGACACTTCGGCAACCTGCCGTTGCACGTGCTCGGCTGCCCTGCGGCGCCCCTCGACCCGGTCGCGCCCGCGGGCGGCAGGCGGGCCAGGCGCCCGTGGCCGGGCTCGAGATTTGCCACCGGCGCGGCAAGCTGTTGGCCGTGAACCCGGGAGCGCGGGCCAGGCGCGAGAAGATGTGCAGTGCAGCTGCGGCCAAGAATGTATATGATATCCATATGGAGGGGGTCCGTGATCGCCGTCGGCGGCGCTTCCCTGCGGCGGAGGTGGCCCAGTGCGACAGAGTGCTTCGGCAGCATCGGGCCACATGTCTGGCGAAACGTCAGGCGGCTGGCCTCCAGATGCCGTGACGCTGCCGCTGCCAATCCTGCTCTGCTTCCTGGCCTTGTTCTTCTCCGCTTAGAAGGTCGTCTGCACCTACGTGGTCCTCTTGCTCGCCTACCGGATCGCCTACTCCTACGTGGCCCTCCTCTTCGCCTGCCGGGTCGTCTTCACCTTCCTGGCTCTCGTCTTCGCCGACCGGGTCGTCGACTCCTCCCTGGCCTTGTTCTTTGCGTTCCGGGTCGTTTACATTTATGCGGCCCTCCTTTTCGCCCACCGGGTCGTCTACACCTACGTGGCCCTCCCTTTCGCCTACCGGTTCGCCGACTTCTTCCTGTCCCTCCTCTTCGCCTGCCGGGTCATCTTCTCCTTCCATGTCTCCTTCTTCGCCTATCGGGTCGTCTTCTCCTTCCTGGCCCCCTTCTGCGCCTACTGGGTCATCGGCTCCGTCCTCCTCGCCTGCGGGCCTTCGACTCCTTCCTGGCCCCTCGGAGGGGGGGAGGCCCTGGCCCTCCTGGAGCTCGCGGGCCCGCCAGGGCCCCCCATGTCCCCCGCGGGGGAAGCCAGGTCGGGCGCTGCGGTGCTGGCCTGGCCACGGGTGCTTCTCAGCGACGCTCCATCGTGCTGGCTGTGGGCGGTGGTGCGGCCAGGGCGACCGGCGCCTGGTCTTCGAGCGCCCCGCGCAGCTTTTCTGCCTCATCGTGGGTGCAGGTGTATCGCGCGGGCTTCGGTGTGCAGCGACTAACGATGAGACGCCGCGCTTGTGGCGTTCTAGCGGAGGGGCGTCAGGGCGTGTCATGCGGCGGCGACGGCACGCTCCGGCGGCGCTGTGCTGTGGCGTGGCGACCTTCGGCATCCGTAGGCTGGCAGTCGGCCCTCGCCAACTTTTGTTGGCTCAAATTTTTAGTTGATGAGCTCTCGTGTGCACTTCCAGTCTGTACACTTGCGTTGCCAATGTGGGTGTATATCGCTGCGTTCCTGTGCCGGGTTGTGGCCTGGGCGGGCCGCGGGCGTGGTGGGGCAGCGGCCTGTAATTCCATGCGCGGGAGGCTGGCTTGCGTGGCCAGTCGAGTGTGCGCGCCCTCTGCGAGGCCATATGCGCCCCGTTGTTTTTTCGCTGTGTGCAGTATTGGCGTTCGTTGTGTATGGTGACTCCGGGGACTGTGCAGTTAGCCCTGGGCGGCCAGTTTCTGGCCTTCGAGCGCCCCGCGCAGCTTTTCTGCCTTGAGCGCGGTATCCAGCCTGACGGCCAGATGCCCTCTGATAAGACGATCGGAGGCAGCGACGATGCCTTCAATGCGTTCTTCTCCGAGACTGGCGCTGGTAAGCACCCCCCCCCGCTGTGTGATGGTCGACCTGGAGCCCGCTGTCGTCGATGAAGTACGCGCTGGCAAGGAGGGCGCCGCGAACAACTTCGCGCGAGAACATTATACCATCGGCAAGGAGATCGTTGACTTCGTCCTGGATCGGATCCGGAAGTTGGCCGACAACTGCACTGGCCTCCAGGGCTTCATGATCTACAATGCCGTCGGCGGAGGCACTGGCTCCAGGCTCGCCTGCCTGATGCTGGAGCGCTTGTCTGTGGACAGTGGGAAAAAGGCGAAGGTTTCTATCGCCGTGTGGGCGTGCCTGGAGGTCGCCGCGGCAGTGGTGGAGCCCTACGACACTGTGCTTTGCGTGCACTCCCTCCTGGAGCACACAGATGTCACCATCATGTATGACAACAGGCATCGTGCGATATATGCCGTCGCAATCTTGACATCGAGCGCCCTACTTACACCAACCTGAACAGGCTGCTGGCGCAGAGCATCTCCTCGCTGACAGCGTCGTTGCGCTTCGACGGTGCTCTGAATGTGGACATTACCGAGTTCCAGACGAACTTGGTGCCCTACCCGCGCATTCACTTCATGCTCTCTAGCTATGCGCTCGTGATCTCAGCGGAGAAGGCGTGCCAAGAACAGCAGTCAGTGGCGGAGATCACCATGGTTGTCTTCGAGCCCGCATCCATGTTCGTGAAATGCGACCCTCGTCATGGCACCAAAGATGTGAACGCTGCAGTAGCGACTATAAAGCCCAAGCGCACCATTTAATGCGTGGATTGGTGCCCCACGGGCTCCAAGTGCGCGCGGTCAAGTACCGACCGACCTGTTTTTCTGCCCGTGGCGGCATAGCACAATTGCACCGGGAGCGGTCCTCGCGACCTTCTCAGCTCCTGCTCCGCATGCTGTGTGATGTACCGCGGAGACGTAGTGCCCGCAGATGTGAAGGCTGTGGTAGCGACTATCAAGACCAAGCGCACCATTCAAGACCAAGACCAAGCTCCCCGGCTACGGCTACGGCCGCGGCCCGGCAGGGGGGGGCTCGGAGGTGGCTGTACCCATGTCCTTGCCACACTGCTGCCGAAAGTCCAACCTCACCTACCGACGAAAGTCTGGCGGGGAGCGGGAACGATCCCACGGCGCTGTGGCAGCCTCTCCCGCCCCCTCCGGCTCGCCGGAGGTTTCGCGGGCTACCCCCCGGGGTGGAAGGTCGCCAACGGCACGTGGTTGACGCGGCTAACGGGGCTCTGGCGGGCGTGGCTCTGGGCTGGAGAAGTATTTCGCACGAGGGACTGTCTGCTGACTGGGGCCATGTGCTGACGAGGTGCCCGGGGTGTTCCCAGCTTCGGGTTTCTCGGTGCTCGTGCTACCGCGTAGGCAGTGGCGGGGGGGCCAAAGACATGCGGGGAATTCAACTGGCCCGCGGGTCGCAGCCTGACAGGTGGGTGGGCCAGCCGACCTACATGTGGGAGCGCCTTATAAAGCTCCGGCCTACAGGAATGCCCATGTGCGGACCGTCGCGCTGGTTTGCCGTTCCTGGCCTGCTCCGAGCTGCTACAGAATCCAGAAGGGGGTTCTACGGGATGGGCGCCCCGTAACAGATCCAGCACGCAGTGGGGGTCTCTACTGTGTCAACGAGATCCCCCCCGGAGGGCCGACCCGAGGCCGCGGCGCGGCCCGCGCGCGGGTGCTTATTCGTGGATTGGGGCTCCCCGGCTACGGCTACGGCCGCGGCCCGGCAGGGGGGGGCTCGGAGGTGGCTGTGCCCATGTCCTTGCCGCGCTGCTGCCGAAAGTCCAACCTCACCTACCGACGAAAGTCTGGCGGGGAGCGGGAACGATCCCACGGCGCTGTGGCAGCCTCTCCCGCCCCCTCCGGCTCGCCGGAGGTTTCGCGGGCTACCCTCCGGGGTGGAAGGGCGCCAACGGCGCGTGGTTGACGCGGCTAACGAGGCTCTGGCGGGCGTGGCTCTGGGCTGGAGAAGTATTTCGCACGAGGGGCTGTCTGCTGACCGGGGCCATGTGCTGACGAGGTGCCCGGGGTTTTCCCGGCTTCGGGATTCTCGGTGCTCGTGCTACCGCGTAGGCAGTGGCGGGGGGCCAAAGACATGCGGGGAATTCAACCAGCCCGCGGGTCGCAGCCTGACAGGTGGGTGGGCCAGCCGACCTACATGTGGGAGTGCCTGATAAAGCTCCGGCCTACAGGAATGCCCATGTGCGGACCGTCGCGCTGGTTGCCGTTACAGCTCCTGGCCTGCTCCGAACTGCTACAGAATCCAGAAAGGGGTTCTACGGGATGGGCGCCCCGTAACAGATTCAGCACGCAGTGGGGGTCTCTACTGCGTCAACGAGATCTCCCCCGGAGCGTCGACCCGAGGCCGCGGCGCGGCCCGCGCGCGGGTGCTTATTCGTGGATTGGTGCCCCGCGGGCTTCAAGTGCGGCATCAACTATCAGCCTCCTTCAGTGGTCCCTGGTGGCGACCTGGCCAAAGTCATGCGTGCCTGCTGCGTGATCAGCACTTCCACCGCCATCGCAGAGGTCTTCTCGCGCATCGACCACAAGTTCGACCTCGCGTACTCGAAGCGCGCGTTTGTGCACTGGTATGTGGGCGAGGGTATGGAGGAAGGCGAGTTCTCCGAGGCTCGCGAGGACCTGGCGGCGCCGGAGAAGGACTACGAGGAGGTGGGCATCGAGACCGCGGAGGGCGAGGGCGAGGAAGAGGGCGATGGCGACGAGTTCTGAGGAGGCAGCCGCAGAGTAGCTGCACGAGGGAGGGTAACCGAGGAGTCGCACTCTCGTTGAGAGACTACCGCCAGCGGTCCCCATGGACAACGTCACATTCTTGGGATATTCAGCTTCGTCGTCAATAGCTTGGAGTGTGGCGGCAGACAGTACTTCATTTTCGCCGCTCCCCTGACGGTGGAGCGAGCCTGTGGTGTGTTCAGGGGTGGCACGCCCGGGCGCGGTTTTGCCGCGCGCGCTAAGCCCTGCGGTGCAAATCGTTTTATTGTCGACGGGCTTGAGGTGAAATCATTGGCGAGTGACCGCTACGCGAAGCAGCGCTGGGTTTACCGACAGGCTCATCAGCATCTAATTCATGAAGAATTCAAACTTGCAGCCCTCAATGTTGAACATTTGGACCCGTGGAGGTGGGATGACAAGTTCGAACTCCAGGAGGTCATATTCCAGGCGCGCCATGCGCGCCATGACCATTGGGACCTCGCCTTCCTCTCTGACGTGCACTGTCCGTACGATGAAGTTCGTGTAATGGTAGTGGAAGAATTCGTGATTGTGATGGCCGGCCAGGTGGGCATTCTCATGAGCCAGGCGTGTGCGATGGCTTGGCGTGCTACCGGGGCCCGTCGCTTCTGGACCCCACTGTCCCGGCGTTGGCTGGCACTTTCGCTTCGCATCCATGGGGTCGCGTGCAACTGTGTCGCGGGTTATGCTTCTACGCAACGACATGCCGCTGATAGGGCAGCCTTTTTCGAGGGCGGAGATGAATTGTTTGCGCGTCTACCCGCTGGTGGCCGCGTGCTTGCTGGTGGAGATTGGAGCAGGTAATTTTGGGAAGGACGCCGCTGGCTGGGACTGGGCGGGGGGGCATTCGCTACGACAGCCGTCCAGCCGTCTGGCTTGCCAACTCCAGGAGCGGGCCGTCCCGTGGCATCTGCGCCGTGTGGATTCGGATTTTCATGCGCGGGTAGGCAAACGTGGCACTTGGCGGGGGATTTGCTCGAAAACTTATCACGAGAACGACTTCCCCCTCGTCGCCCTGCCCACTGGGTGCGCCAGATGGCGTGGCTTGACCACGTTTGCTGCTGGTATTCCAGACCGCTTCGGCAAGGCTGTCACCGTAAATCTGCTGGGGCGTCCAGGGGCATCTTTCCGCGACCGTCCCGGCGCCGGCGCCGGCCCGCTTGCGCGCTGAGTGCGCGCGCGGGCCTTCGGCGAGTGCGCAGCAGCAGAAGCGGGGCGAGCGCCTTGCGGAGGTTACCCGCCGTGTCGCAGAGGAGGTTGAGTCTGGCCGCCTTCCCGCATCTCCTTCGTGGGCGACGGTTGCGCAAACCTGCCGAGAAGCTGGCGAGAGCGTGCTGGATCGCGACAGCCGCGCGGCCGGGGTACCAATCCTCGTTGTTCGCCGAGAGACGCAGCGTGCAGGCCGAAATGAGCTCAAGCAGAAATTTGAGGAGATCCGTTTGTGCGACGACCCCGCCAGGGAGACCGCTCTTCGAGCGGAGCACAAACAGATTTGTGCCCGGTGCAGCGCCAGGAACGCTGATGCAAGGCTGCCCTCATTGAGTCTGTGTGCCAGGAGGTGGAGAGTATGCCATCTCGCAGCGGGGCACGGGCAAGATGTACCGCTCCCTGCTGGAGCTCGGTGCGTGGCTGAAGGGCTTTTCATTCCAGGAGGCGGGCCCGTTCACCCCAGTAGAGGTGCGAGCTCACTTCAGCAAGATTGGCGGCGAGCCCAATGTAATGCACGAGCTCCCGGCCGTGGTGGGGCGGTTGCCACGGCGATCTGTCGATGACTCCATCGCCGCGCGTTCAGGAGGGGAAGAGGTCGACCATGCCATCAAAACCGTGAGGGTGTCAGCGGGCGGCGCGGATGAGGTCGCCATCGACATGATTCGACACGGCGGATAACAAGCCCGACAGCTCGTGCGCATGCTTGTCTAGCGGTTGTGGGATCTCCAGGACGACGTGTGACAGGATGAGGTGGTCCTCAAGGGCGTGATCCACCTCCTGTACAAGGGTAGGGCTTGCGCTGTGACCTCGATAAGTACCGGGGCACTTGCCTCCTGTCCATCGTGTCCAGAATCCTCGCGCGCGTTCTTGCCCTTCGCCTGGCTGCCTGGGCAGAGCGACATGACATCCTAGTCAACGGGCAGTTCGGCTTCCGCGCCTTGCGGTCTACGCGGGATGCAGCCATGATCACCCGGATGGTCTTGGAGGAATCGGCGCGGCGGCTCGGTCCCGTGGTCGATGACTATCTCGTCCTACTCCTGGCCGACATCAAAAAGGCATATCCGAACACCAGCAGGGAGCTCTGCTGGGCGGTTCTCGCCCGCGAGGGCATGCCAGAACCCGTAATTGAATTGCTGCGCCGGCTGCGCTCCGCGACGCCGTGCACGGTGAGGGCCACGCAGGGCGACTGGTCAAACTATAGCCTCTCCCGGGGCTTACGTGGAGGATGTCCCACCTCGTGTGTAGTATATAATGTGGTGCACCATGCTGCTCTACGTGCTCTTCAGTCCCGGCTCGGCTGCGCCGCTCCCGCGACGTCCTCGCGCTGGCGATGATGCTGTTCTGGATTGCATCTTTCGTATTATCGGTTTTGCTGATGACACGTCCGCTTGCGCGCTCTTCCGGAGGGCCGCGGACGACGAGGCGCTCGTCGCGGCCACTCTTGCGGAGTACGGCGAGACTACGCACCCTGACAAGTGGGAATGGATGCGCGTGGGGCGCCACGGCGACACGTTGCCGGCCGGCTACGCCAGCTGGGCCATGCTTTTCGGCGTGTGCTTCGACGTGGACGGCGGGGCGCGGAAAGACGCAGATGGGCGTCTTCGCCTGGCTGGTTTGCGGTGGGGGCGCGTCCGAATGCAGTTGCCCTGGCTGTCCATATCGGCGCGCCAGATGGGTCGGATGCTGGAAGCTACTGTGGTGGCCTGCTTGTTCTACGGGGCCGAAGTCCGGCCATTCCCGAAAGCAGAATTGCGTCGTTACACGATCTTCCTCAATCGCATTGTACGCTACATTGCATGGGCCCCGACTCCGGCGGCTTCAGGAAACAGGGGGGGGCGAGTCGCGCAGATTGATTAGCGGTTGCGCACTGGGCTCCGGTCCCCAGAGGAATACGCGGCAAGACGGCAGCTTGGGTATGCGGGGCACAATCTGGCCGATGCAAATGGGGGTTGGATCGCGAGGGTGATGAAGCGCACCGGCGTCCCAGAGGACCATTGGCCTACCGCCTGGAGGGGCGCTGCCGCTGCCGAGATGACCAAGTGAGCCGAGTGGCGCCGCCTGAGTGGCGAGGACTGCGAGGAGATCGCCCACGAAGCGGCCCAAGATACTTGGGCTGAGCGGCGCTCGAAAGACAATCCGGCGGAGGAGGTGGCTGCCCTGCTGGAGAAAGTCGCGCGGAATCCCCAGACTGGCATGCTGAAGTGTCCCAAGTGCTCGAACGAGTGCAGCGGCAAGAGCATCTACGTCCACCTGCGGGGCTGCGCCGGGGAGGCGACCGCGCGGCGTGAGCCCGTGCAAAATTGCGACGGTGTGGCTGTTTCTACGGTGCCTTGGACCATCATCAGAAGACGTGCAACCGCGCCGCCTGCTTCGGGGGAAGGGTTCGCGCACGCGGCTGCCCGCCGACCGCGCGCGCCTGCCTGAGGAGTTTATCTCGCGGCGCCGGACCAAGCAGGCCCGGGGGGCGGGCATGCCGGCCGCCGGCAATGTGAAGACGACGCGACCCGCGATTGCAAAGAGGCCTGCCTCGGCGGCATCCGCTCGCCGTAGCTAGCAGGGGTGGTGGTGCCTGTGCTGCGAGACGAAGCAGAAGAGCCCCACGCGCGGGTACGTCTGCCGCTCGGCCCCTTACGAGGTCTGGCACGGTCATGTGGAGGCCAAGCAGGCGCGGGCATACTCTGTAGAGGTGATTTCTACGTGGACACATCGCTGTACTATGTGTGACATGCGTTTTCCCCCAGTGCGAGCTGCTGCCGGCCACGCCACAGATTGCCAGAAACGCAGGGGACGAGTGGGTTTGTCGGTGTGAAGAACTATAACTTCTGCTGCCACACGTTCTACACTGTGTACATCATCACGTTTATGGGCAGCATCATGTACTTCGCTGTTTACTTCGTCATTTACAGTACGTGCATCATCACGTTGATTGGCAGCATCATTTACTTTGCCTTTTCTTTCCTTCTTCACACTCATGTGCGTCATCATGTACTGCATCATCTACGGCATCATGTGCTGCATCATGTACGTTTTCATGTATTGTACCATCTGCGGCATCATTGACGAGGAGGTTGAGGAGGGGGGGGCGGAAACGCCGAGGGGGGGCAGCAGGCGAGGGTGTCCGCGAAGCCGGCTGTAGCGTGGGGCCGTAGCGTGCCCGGTTGTCGCCTCCATGGGCTTTGTCGGGTCCCACGCTGAGAGGGGGGGGGCCGACGAGGGACATTGAGGGATGCTGTTCTTTTGAATCACTTTGCCGAGCCATGCTGTGGTCCGTCGGCCGCGGCGGCGCGGCCCCTCGCGAGGGGCGGGGGCCTGCCGTGCCAGCCTCTTCGGAGGCGCTGGGCCCCCCCGGGGCCGTACTTGCTCTTCTTCTACGCGGCGTCGCTGCTTTTGGACGGCCGGTCCCCGCGCTGCTGCGCAGCACGGCTGGTGCACGATGACTCGGTTTCTGACCGGCCTGTTTTTCTGTTCGTGGCGGCACAGCACAATTGCACCGGGGGCGGTCCTCGCGACCTTCTCAGCTCCTGCTCCGCATGCTGTATGATGTACCGCGGAGACGTAGTGCCCGAAGATGTGAAGGCTGGTAGCGACTATCAAGATCAAGCTCCCCGGCTACGGCTACGGCCGCGGCCCGGCAGGGGGGGGCTCGGAGGTGGCTGTACCCGTGTCCTTGCCGCACTGCTGCCGAGAGTCCAACCTCACCAACCGACGAAAGTCTGGCGGGGAGCGGGAACGATCCCACGGCGCTGTGGCAGCCTCTCCCGCCCCCTCCGGCTCGCCGGAGGTTTCGCGGGCTACCCTCCGGGGTGGAAGGGCGCCAACGGCACGTGGTTGACGCGGCTAACGAGGCTCTGGCGGGCGTGGCTCTGGGCTGGAGAAGTACCTCGCACGAAGGGCTGTCTGTTGACCGGGGCCATATGCTGACGAGGTGCCCGGGGTGTTCCCAGCTTCGGGATTCTCGGTGCTCGTGCTACCGCGTAGGCAGTGGCGGGGGGCCAAAGACATGCAGGGAATTCAACCGGCCCGCGGGTCGCAGCCTGACAGGTGGGTGGGCCAGCCGACCTACATGTGGGACTGCCTTATATAGCTCCGGCCTACAGGAATGCCCATGTGCGGACCGTCGCGCTGGTTGCCGTTACAGCTCCTGGCCTGCTCCGAACTGCTACAGAATCCAGAAAGGGGTTCTACGGGATGGGCGCCCCGTAACAGATCCAGCACGCAGTGGGGGTCTCTACTGCGTCAGCGAGATCCCCCCCGGAGGGCCGACCCGAGACCGCGGCGCGGCCCGCGCGCGGGCGCTTATTCGTGGATTGATGCTCCCCGGCTACGGCTACGGCCGCGGCCCGGCAGGGGGAGGCTCGGAGGTGGCTGTGCTCATTTCCTTGCCGCGCTGCTGCCGAAAGCCCAACCTCACCTGCCGACGAAAGTCTGGCGGGGAGCGGGAACGATCCCACGGCGCTGTGGCAGCCTCTCCCGCCCCCTCCGGCTCGCTGGAGGTTTCGCGGGCTACCCTCCAGGGTGGAAGGGCGCCAACGGCGCGTGGTCGACGCGGCTGACGAGGCTCTGTCCGGCGTGGCTCTGGGCTGGAGAAGTACCTCGCACGAGGGGCTGTCTGCTGACCGGGGCCATATGCTGACGAGGTGCCCGGGGTGTTCCCAGCTTCGGGATTCTCGGTGCTCGTGCTACCGCGTAGGCAGTGGCGGGGGGGCCAAAGACATGCAGGGAATTCAACCGGCCCGCGGGTCGCAGCCTGACAGGTGGGTGGGCCAGCCGACCTACGTGTGGGAGCGCCTTATAAAGCTCCGGCCCACAGGAATGCCCATGTGCGGACAGTCGCGCTGGTTTGCCGTTACAGCTCCTGGCCTGCTCCGAACTGCTACAGAATCCAGAAAGGGGTTCTACGGGACGGGCGCCCCGCAACAGATCCAGCACGCAGTGGGGGTCTCTACTGCGTCAACGAGATCCCCCCCGGAGGGCCGACCCGAGGCCGCGGCGCGGCCCGCGCGCGGGCGCTTATTCGTGGATTGATTGTTCTCCCCGGCTGCGGCCGCGGCCGCGGCCCGGCAGGGGGAGGCTCGGAGGTGGCTGCGCCCATGTCCTTGCCACGCTGCTGCCGAAAGTCCAACCTCACCTACCGGCGAAAGTCTGGCGGGGGGCGGGAACGATCCCACGGCGCTGTGGCAGCCTCTCCCGCCCCCTTCGGCTCGCCAGAGGTTTCGCGGGCTACCCTCCGGGGTGGAAGGGCGCCAGCGGCACGTGGTTGACGCGGCTAACGAGGCTCTGGCGGGCGTGGCTCTGGGCTGGAGAAGTACCTCGCGCGAGGGTCTGTCAGCTGACCGGGGCCATGTGCTGACGAGGTGCCCGGAGTGTTCCCAGCTTCGGGATTCTCGGCGCTCGTGCTACCGCGTAGGCAGTGGCGGGGGGGCCAAAGACATGCGGGGAATTCAACTGGCCCGCGGGTCGCAGCCTGACAGGTGGGTGGGCCAGCCGACCTACATGTGGGTGCGCCTTATAAAGCTCCGGCCTACAGGAATGCCCATGTGCGGACAGTCGCGCTGGTTTGCCGTTACAGCTCCTGGCCTGCTCCGAACTGCTACAGAATCCAGAAAGGGGTTCTACGGGATGGGCGCCCCGCAACAGATCCAGCACGCAGTGGGGGTCTCTACTGCGTCGACGAGATCCCCCCCGGAGGGCCGACCCGAGGCCGCGGCGCAGCCCGCGCGCGGGTGCTTATTCGTGGATTGGTGCCCCACGGGATCCCCAGCTGGGGGGGGGTTCAGCGCCGGGACATACCGGACATGCCGGACATACGGCGTTGGACCGGAACTAACCGGACATAAATGTCCCCAGCGGTCTGATGACGTAATGGAGCGCCCCGAGTGGGCACACTTGAGCGGCCTTAGCGGCCATGTGAATAGCCACGGGTGGCTACGGCAACTCGCCAGACGGTGGAATAAGCTGATGCACATCCTCCACGGGAACGGGTCCTCCGGCGCCCAGCCGGAGGTGTTTGCTATTGGTGGCGAGTCCTCCGACGACGACTCGCTGCTGGCCGTGGGGACGCAGATTACTATTGTTGGTTTGACGTCGGCGAGAGGCTCACCTCTCAATGGCTTCTCCGGCACAGTCATTAGCTATGTGGAGGCGTCGCAGCGTTACGGGGTGCACGTGCCAGTGACAGGGGGCGAGGTGCTGCTCAAGCGGGACAATCTCCAGACCTCACTCGTGGAGGAGCACTGGCTGACGGACTACGACATTACTCACGACGCTGGTGTGCCCCGGGCCTCAGTGCAGGGGGCGCGGATCTTATTGCGCCGATGCGGATCTGCGAACCGGGTCAACGAGTGGATGGATATCTATAGGGAGTTTCTTAACCGCAGGGCGTGTGGGCGTGTTTGGAGGAATCATCTAGAATTGTTATTGCGTGTCCCCGTGGTGTTGGCATCCGTTACTCGCCGTCGCTGGACAATTTACGACAGCACATGGCTCGCAGCAGCGGCTTCCTCACCTTCGGTGGTGGCGCTACCTGGACTGAGAAGCGGTTCTTGGTACTGCCGGTGGAAGACCAACAGGAGGCTGCGGACTACGCATTTTCAAGGCTCGCCCCTGCAGAGGCTCTTGACCAGGCAGTTGCCGAGGTCGCGATGGCCATGCCTTCTGCGGAGGCCCATGCGTCGCGCAGCCAGCGCCGAAGGAGGGCCAGGGCTGCCCGGGATCGTGGCATTTGACGACGTGGCGCCCCGGCGTCATCGGCTCCCACATCTGCAGTGTCCTGGGGACCACGCCTGCGCCTGTGCAGGTTGCTGTCGATGTCAGGAGTTTACTCGAATCCATGGGTGGCTGGTAGTTCAATTCACATCCTGGTGGTTAGTTTGTTTCAGGGCGAGGACAAGGCTTTTCGTCACATGCTTCTGTGGTTGGCCGCTTTGGTTTGCACAGTACCTCCGGCCATGTGCAGGGCATGACATGCATGCACCGGCTTTTCCGCAGGGCGAGTGGTACGCCATTGCTTCGCGCTGGTCTGGACCTTCCCTCCGCGGGGGGTTCGGTCTGCTCGCCTTCTCGGGTTGCCGAAGGAGGGGGGGCTCTTTATGACCTTTAATAATATCCGCTCAGACAAGGAAAGCGATTGGTGCCCCACGGGATTCAAGTGCGGCATCAAATATCAGCCTCCCGCAGTGGTCCCTGGTGGCGACCTGGCCAAAGTCATGCGTGCCTGCTGCGTGATCAGACCTGGCGGCGCTGGAGAAGGACTACGAGGAGGTGGGCATCGAGACCGCGGAGGGCGAGGGCGAGGAAGACGGCTATGGCGACGATTTCTGAGGAGGCTGCCACAGAGTAGCTGCGCGAGGGAGGGTAACCGAGGAGTCGCACTCTCGTTGAGAGATGGCGTGCTTCCATGACCTATCTCAAAGAGTTGCGTGCTTGCACGTAGCAGATCGGCATGTTTTTCATGCTGACCTGTGGCTGTTCACTTGCACGGCACATCCTGACTCGGGGTGGCCGAATTGCCGGGCCGCCTCGTGTCCCG